TTTAAAAATATAATCAGATAAAGTTTTGGATATTTTTATGTCTTCGGGTTAGGTTTTGGGTAAAATTTCGGGTATTTTTTGGGTATTTAAATATTTTCCGGTATTTTTGTGTGTTTAGGTATTTTTTGGGCCATACCCGGTAGGACCCGAACCGAACCCGATCCAAAACCGAACCGAATCCGAACTGATAAATTCTAATTACCCCATTGGTCCAACTATATAAGACCCGAACCGACCCGGACCCGGTAGGACCCGAACCGAACCCGAACCGACAAAGTCTAATTACCCTATTGGGTCTAAATATCTAAGACCCGAAGGAACCGGACCCGACATGACCTGACCCGAACCCGATCCGAACCGGAAAATGCCCAGGCCTAACCTTGAATTAACCTACAAATACAAGATAATATTGTGAAAAAGATATGATAGAAAAATTAACAAACTAAACAAAAATTCATCTTCACCTTCAAAGAATTGAGAAATGAGAGAGTTTTAGAGAGAAGGGAGAGAGTTTTAGAGAGAAGTGAGAGTTTTTTTAGAAATTTGTGCAGCCATTTCAGAGAGAGTTATTTATATAGGGAGAAAAAAATTGTAACTAGGTTAAAAATTTTGATAGTATAGATTTCTTTTGAAGTCTGCTACAATTAAAATTTTGGAGTAGACTTTATTGTAAGTCTACTTAGTAGACTTTTTTTGAAATCTACTATTACTATTTCATTATTGTTACCTAATCAATATTTATTCGTTAAAATTGTTTAATTATATGAAATTTTAATTTATATACCTCATATTGATTCTTATATTGATTACCTAAAAGAAATTTCACACAATTTATTTTATATATTTTTAAAATAAAATTATAAGATTAATTTAGAATATAGACTTCGTAATAATTCTATAATATTGACTTCATGATAAATCTACACCTTGTATACTTCTCTCTATTAAATGTAGACTTTATAAGGATAAAATTGTAAAATAGCATTCTGACTTTTTGTTTAGTCATAAGGAGTAAATAGATATTTCTCTACCCCTTTAGGTTAATTTTTCATTTGACTGAAATTGGGGTACACTTTTGTATTTGATTTGAAATTTTAGGTTGTTTTTAGCAAATGTCTCTATTATAGATTATGATTAATAACTATCTTTTCGTTTTGATGCGCTACGACCTGATCAAATGTTGTTAGTTTGCATTAGGGGTGGACAAAATATCCGTACAATTTGATTCGACCTGTTATTCGTTTCGATTCAATCCAAAAATTTCGGATATCAATAACTTTACGATTCAATATTCGTCAAAGACATATCAAATCACAGCCAAAAGAGACCGATTAATCTCCGCGTACTGTCGGAACTTATTTGAAGTGGCTCATTTTGTACCTGAAAAACCCATGTATGAACAAGGATTGATTTTACTTCCCCACCTAGCTACTTTAGGCTGGAGGGTAAGTCCTGGGGGAGAAGTTATAGACACCTTTCCATACTTTATATCTGGAGTACTTCACTTAATTTCTTCTGCAGTATTGACATTTGTAAGCCATCTTAGCTAAGCGAAGAGCGGAATTTCGTAATGAGCATAACGGCGCTATTGTTCCGATGGAGAAAAGAACCTATGATTAGTACCAGCAAATATAGCCAGAAAAGCTATTGAAATAGCGGCATCAAAACGTTTTATGAAGAGGCTGATGGTAATGAGGATCCATGCGCACTCAAACTCATATTTTAAAAACGAATATCTGATTCGATACGTTATATACATATATATTCATATATATAATTTTTATATCTTTATATAAGTTTATAATATTTTTATTATCTGAATTAATTATTTAGTTATTAAAAGTTTTAAAGTATGCAGTTTTTAAAAATGTTGTAGTAAAATATATTATTTTATAGTAAACTTTTTTATATTTTCTTATATTATTATGGACCGAATCAGATATTTAGTAAAAATACTAATTTTTTTTGCTATATACAGAACACCGAATATCCAAAAGTTTATTAATGGACTATCAAATATTTGTGGAAAACAAAGCGAATCACGAATATCCTTAAAGTTACGGATATCTCCGTTCCCATGTTTGCAGGTATTAACTATGATTAGTCGTAAGTCTGCAATTTTCATTAAACGTTAATTTTGAAATGAAATAGCTATTCGTGACTAATTAGTGAAATGAATCATGCAACACATAATAATATGCAATCACCAACTGGTTGAGGGACAAACAAACGTACTGATATGATAAGAATGACGATGATTATGAAAAATGATGATAATTGTGATGGTATGAAGGCGATGATGGCGACATTTAATGATACTATCATGGTTCGTTCCTTTTATCCTTAAAGATCTTAAATTTAAACTGGAATTGTCCTCTAGTATTAGAAACGTGTGATTTTGTGGAAGAAAAATACGCTTTCTCTATCACTACATTTACTAGTTGTCTATCACTACATTTATTAGTTGCATACTCTCTGCGCAAACGCGGAGCCATGATCATTGTGTTTGCGTGTATATTTTCGATTGTTGGTTTAGTGGATTCTTCTATTAACACCAAATAATAATGAAATAAAAAGAATGTAGTAAGAGTGTAAAGTTAAAATATTGTATATACAATGTGTTAAATATTATTTATATGCGAAGTAAAGTTTATAGGAATAGTTAGGCTATAATATAGTTTTTAGTATGTAAAAGTAGGTGTATTTTTTTTTTCTTTTCTGTAAATAGTTTTTATATCGTATGTCAAAACTTGATATAATTCTATATTTATAGTATTTATATTTGTATTAAACGATTTATCAATTTGAAAATAGCCTTAATTAAGTTAATATTCGTTGTTTAAGTTTCATTAGATAGGTTTTTATATATGTTTTTTGTAAGTTTGGGTTTTATTCATAAAAGATGTGGCATTTTTATCTACGGCGTCATCGACTGCGAGAATCCATTTGCGGGAGTTTGGAGTCGGTGGTGACGAATGTTTTCAATGAAATTATAGTAGTTATTAAAATGTAAGAGAAATTACATATTCATTTAATAAATAACAAAAAATACTTAAATTTTGTTGTTTATTTTATTTTATTTCACATATAATTTTTTTGAAAATATATTAGGAATGTATTAAATATTATTTATATGCGAAGTAAGTTTTATAGGAATAGTTAGGCTAATATAGTTTTTAGTGTGTAAAAACAGGTGTGTTTTTTTTTTTTTGTTGTAAATAATTTTTATATCGTAGATTAAAACTTGATATAATTATATATTTATAGTATTTATATTTGTATTAAACGATTTATCAATTTGAAAATAACATTAATTAAGTTAATATTCAGTTGTTTAAGTTTCATTAGATAGGTTTTTATATATGGTTTTTTGTAAGTTTGAGTTTTGTTCATAAATGATGTGGCATTTTTATCTACGACGTCATTGACTGTGGAATCCATTCGACAGAGTTTGGAATCGGTGGTGAGGAATGTTTTCAATGAAATTATAGTAGTTATTAAAATGTAAGAGAAATTACATATTCATTTAATAAATAACGAAAATAATTAAATTTTGTTGTTTTTTTTATTTTATCTCACATACAAATTTTTGGAAAATATATATTAGGAAATATGTGTAATGATTTAACTTTTTTGGGCTCTTAATCTATATTATTCAAGTCTCATTAAACTATCCACGTAGACAGTTTATGAAATATGTGCAATGATTTAATTTTTTTGAGCTCTTAATCTATATTTCCTAATCTAGTATAGAATGTCCAAAAATTCCCGCTCAATTGTACTAATTAAGTCATTACGAAAATGATGTATTATTCACGATCCCACATGGTCTTGGGACAGTTAGAAGATAGAACTACCAAATTTCTGACATAGTTCAAAAGTTATGGACTGATCAAATAGACCAAACAGGGTCCCTTATCTTTTGATGTACAATCACTTATGTGAATCTGATACATGTGTTAACAATAAGAGTTCTTAAATATCTATCAGGTTAGTTGTGAAAGAAAGTAGCTGGGTGTATTAAATAGGATCCAAAATATTGTTCAAACTGATTTCTAAGATGATTGTGATTTCCAAAATATTGTCCAAAATATTAGTGTTACCACTCACCACCGTGACAATCCAAATTTAGATCTAGCTATGTACTTTATAAATGAAAAATACATGATGTATACATTACATATGAACATTATGAGTAATTGATTGGTTTTTATATGCTGACTATTTTACGTTATAAATCAATCTGAGGTTTTATATTTTCTTGTTTGAAATTTCTCTGAAAAGAAATGAGCATGTTTGGTTAAACATGTTTTAAACTTCTTTGCAGTTAAATGCTAGCTAAATCATAACTTCTACTAGACTTCCACAATCACATGTTATGGTTAATAAATATATCACTTGTCTCTGAAATAAGTGAGTGAAAGATAAAATGATTACAAATCATCTAGGAAAAACATTCAGACATTCAAATATGTTTGCATTGTTATTTTCTTAGTATGCACCCAACCTTTTAATAATAACATAAACCAAAATTTGAACCCCGATAGTGATACATTCATCAAAACTAGTACAACCCAATATATTGCAAACTTTTATCTATGTTTTTTTTTTTTTGTAAAAAACTTTTATCTATATTGCAAACTTTTATCTATGTTTAGTAATATGTTTGACCTAAAATGTGTGAATGGTCTTACATGTAAAAGACTATTAATTAAAATTTAGAATTTATCTCACGGTACTAGTCAAGATCCATAGTTTGAACATGTGGAGTAATAAAGAAGCTCAAAATCAATTTGTTTTGAAAATTCGAACTTCAAACGAGGAGCAATCAGCGAAAAAGTCGAACAGATGTAATCGATTGAACATATTATAATGTGAAAAGTTACTCCACCGAGAGAACTTTTTATTGAAATCAAACCAGGCTAACATAGTACTTAACTAGATCACCACATTTATCATTCGAACATAAAACTTCATTTTTATATCAGGTGATAGTGTGATAGATATCTCAAACCTATCACACTATCACCTGATATGAAAATGATATCTCAAACCTCCATTTTGTGAACTCCTTTCTCCAAGGCAGCAAGTTTGATGATATCGAGCGATTCTACCAAATCATCACATAGTTGATGAGGATCTGGAATCACTGTTGTGTCAACAGCTAGATTGATGATAATCTTGTCTACGTAGCTTACAAAATGGATGATCAAAGCCTAGTTCAACAACAAACATAACCACCTCTTAATTAATTTTATCGAAGTCCCAACAATAAGTTTATGATATATGCAAGTATGGCATGATTGGCTATACTTACCTGCGGTCCACCTGATGCGGTTGCTGTGACGTAAGACATCGGATGGCCAAAAAGACTTACTTTTTCCTTTGGACCCATCACACTTGAAAATGTTAATGTTGTGTGACCAAATACCCTTTTGACAATATTTTCTACTGCCTGTTATTAAAAAATACATATACATAAGTAAATGCATATATTGATATAACTTATTTGATATTCATTTTGCATTGTACCTTTTCCCCGAATATCTTCATGGTATATTTAACAAGTCCATATAGTATTAGTGCCTCCATGGAGATTCTTTTCATATCCATAGTAGATTTTGCTTTTCTAACGTATTCTAGTGGATCATCCTCAGATCTTACCCACAAAGGAAATACAACAATGCCTACGAAGTTACCCCATCTACACTTTGAACCCTTTTCCACCATGTTAGTGAGATCCTACATTTTCATATTTTATGAACTTCTTGCATTATAATGTATTTTTAAGATATTGTTTTAGAAGTTATCTGTGAAAAACTGAAAATGATGGTTACATTTATATTACCTCGATCTTTGTATCTGGTCTTAAATTGACAGCTACTGTACCACGAAGACGGATGTTTTCCTTCCCGGTCGCCATATCATTATCTACTTTTAGAATGTAGAAAATAGAAACTAGTAATGATGATATATTACGGTAATAGCAATATAGCATACTCCTCCGATGTATTGAACAGATCATTATAATGAATGTTTGTACAAACATGGAAACTTAATCAAATTTCTACAATATTTAGTAGCAAGATATTTTTATAAGAGTTATTTCATATTTGATATTAAAAAAAAAATCTTGTTAAGTTATATTATTTTTTTAAAAATCATACAAAAAAATTAATAAAAACGAAATTTCTTTTCAAGAAAATATTTAACACTAAACCCTAAACTCTAATCTTTAAAATTTTTTATTTTAACATTAAAACACTAAACCCTAAACTCTAATCTTAAATCCTAAACCCTTGGGTAAATCATAAACACTAAATCCTAAATTTTAATCCTAAATCCTAAACCTTTGGATAAATCATAAACACTATAAAATTTATGTAAAGGTTTATGATTCACCTAGGGGTTTAAGGTTTAGGATTAGAGTTTAGAGTTTAGTGTTAAAATATTTTATTTAAAAATAATTACTTTCATTTTTATTAGTTATTGTTATTTTTATTTATTTGTATTTATATTTTTAAAACATAATATAACTTAATAAGTTTTTTTTTCTAAAAATATATCAAATATGAAATAATGCATTTCTATTGGATGGTGAACCTAGATGTTCATCTTAGGGGGTGAACCTAAGAATAAATCTTTTTATAATATATTTATTATTCCACAGTATTTTCTAATAATAATAAAATACCACTCAATATATATATATATATATATATATATATATATATATATATATATATGCGCATATTTGAAGGCATAATTAAAAAGATCTGCTACGCATTTTAAAAATATATGATAAAACATAATTGATAAACTTCAAAAAATATCCTTTAAAAATAATTTATCCAAAAGATAAGTACATATTTCTAAGTTGTAAATTAATACAAATTAAAAATACTAATAGATTGATGATTAATTGAAATAACAAATATAAGTCTTGCGAGTGTTTTTGCAAAGGCCATCACATTTTCATATCTTTTTACTTTGTTTTTTTCATCTACAAAAGCTACTAAAACTAGTTTTATAACAATATTAAGGCCAATAACACTAGCTAGTAGACTGGGAAAGAATGTGAAAATACCAGATTTTTTGCTCAAATATCTTGAGAGACCGGCCTGTGTCATTCCAAGAAGAACATCATTTACTTTCTACAAAAAAATACAAAGTTCTTAGAAGGAAAACAAGACAAATAGTCAACATAAAGAATCTTGATATCAAATATTAATAATTTACCATTTCCATTGTGTTCTTTATCATTTTGACATCATCCAAGCTTATTATCCTGTGGATACACTTTCTAGGTCGAATTATATCTCCCGGCTCACTCATGAGAGGAGTTTTCGTATCCCGCATAAAACATATAGTAAGCCAAAACTTGAACAATTCCATGAGAGTGGTGAAAATGATTTTTATCATCAACCAAAATTTCCTAATACACCACCAACCCTTAGCATTGGAACCAGCATGTTTTTTTGTAGCCGTTGTAGTTGGAGGAGCCTTGGGGTCTGATACTTTCCGTGAACTAGCGAGTAGAAGAGACATAAGAGACATACCATCGCCTAGTGAATGATGTAGTTTTCCTATGCCTACAGATTTTGCGTTTGATGTTTGTATATTCAGAACATGAAATTCCCATAAAGGTTTGGACATATCCATTTGAGCGTTAGCAATGTTTGACGCATAGTCTTCTATAAATTGATCGGGATTTTCAATGTTGGAATAGTCAAGATCTGGAACAATAACATGATCTTCTACTCGAACTGTAACAGGGACCCAAACCGCTTTCCCATTTTTCTTCATCTCCTAAAAATATCAATTTATGACCAAAGAAATGATTATATATAAATATACGAATTCAAGTTTTTTTTTATAAGATTACCATATTTTTTTTTACATTTTTCGAGAAGCATGCATGCAGTATGCATGTTTGACACAAACACTACGCTAGTACATGGCATGATAAAGAAATTCTTTAGTATGTAAAATTGAAGCATGTAAGTATGTTTACCACAATGTCAAAAAAAAAAAAGTATGTTTACCACTTTGCTAGAAAAGCGAGGGAGCTTGATCCATGTGTTTTGGATACCTTCAACAATGGCAGAGCGGTTGCATCTAGTTTCAAACCCTAGAGTTAACACAATGACGCAGTAAAGACCCGGTAAAACAAACAGCTGCGAAACCGGGCTAAGCGGCTCCATTGCTGTTGTCTCTTGCTCCTCTCTCGCTGTATCTTTCCCTAATTTCATAGTAAAATTGATCATTCTCCAACCGTTTAGCCACACCAGGCTTTAATACTACTGGTGTTTATATTTCCCCTATCCCTCTTGATTGAATGGTGTTGGCAGTAGACATTATTATTTTGTGACTTTACTTATGTCATTCTGATTTTTTTTTTAATTTAATTTCTCATTTATTGCATCAATATCTTAGAGATCCGACGAGTCAGGGTTTTGTCACAAATCAACGACTTTTGGGCGTTAGGACTTTTCTATGAAATAATCAGTGATAGTTTCCTACAAATTTTACTTACTATACCTGTGAATCAAGGTTTCATTTCCTTTTATTTTAGCGAAACCAAAAAAAGAACAAAAAGAATCAATGATAGGCAGGTTCCTACAAGTTTTACTTACTCTTTTTTGAACTACTCAAGTTTACTTACTATACTTGTGAAACAAGGTGTCATTTCGTGTTAGCAAAAGAAAAGAAAAATAAAAGAATCAGTGATAGTTGCCTACAATTTTACTTACTATATCTGTGAAACAAATTGTCATGTCGTGTTAGCAAAAAAAACCAAAAAGAATCAATGATAGGTTTCCTACAAATTTTACTTACTACACCTATGAAACAAATAGTGATGAATTTCAGTCTGAAAAAAGTAGCATAATTCTAATAATGCGAACCAAATTATAGGTTAGGACCAAAACCAACACAGACCTAAAGTAAGTAATCATAGACCGAGTAAATGAAGAGTCAGATGTCGTGGTTGCTTGGAGTTAACATACCAAAGGTCTGCGACGGGACACTGAACTCTGGGCGTATCTTTATTGTACGCTATCAATTCGTATCTTATATTTTATATCATACAAAGTGTTGCAGACATGAGGCACCATGTTACTACGTACATTATGGTGTGTGTCTGCAAGTTATTTATTTGAATTTTCTTGCGAGAAAACAACATTTTAAAAAAAAATTCTCTAGTGGGTTTGATAATCTAAAATAAAATCATGTAGTTTCTTAGATCCTAATCAGAAGTAACACTTACATGCTACATAAATAAATAAAAAGTATTTGATGAAAAAGGTAATAACAAGTTAATGTCTAACACTTGTGTACTAAAATCTAGGGGCGGCGTTCGGGTGTCTATTCGGATTGGTTCAGATTTATTTGGGTTTCGGATTCGGTTAAAAATGTAAACTCCATTCGAGTATTTATAAATTTTGGTATGGGTTTGGTTCAGATCTTTTCAGGTTCGGTTTGGATTTGGATAATCCACTTAAACTATTTTAAAATTCATATATTCTTTAACTTTTTTCAAAATTTAAAAATAAAAATGATATATAACATATAAATTTGAGTAATGTATACTAAAATACCTAAACTTAATATAAAATGTTGTTTGGGCTGAATATTTAGATGAAGAATTAACATATATTTTAAGTATTTTTGTATTTTGAGTGTTTTTGATGTTTTGAGTATTGTTAGCTACTTTAGATATTTAATTGTGACTATTTATATATATATATATATATTTTCAAATAATTAGGACAATTTCAAAATATCTTATAACTTTTCTATATATTTTCGAGATACTAAATCTTAAAATGGTCAATATATTTAAGTATATAAATCTGATTCAGATATACTCAGATATTAGAAATATTTTTTGATTTGGATCAGGTTCGGTTCTCTAGAACGAAAATTTGAACCCATTTGATATTTAATTTATTTTAGTTCGGATTCTGGATTAAATTCGGTTTTGGTTTTAGGGATTGGATTTTTGGCCAGGCCTGTTAAAATCTACGATTAAAGAATTGAAGTAATTAATATAAAAAGCTTATGCTAGATTTCAAAAAACGTCTCCCAACACGGGTTGATGACACAGACTTGGTACATTTATGAATACATCACAGGCCAAATAGAAAAGTAGTAGCCTAACATTGAATGCAACTAAAAACAAAAACATAATTTTGCCGACAATACCCATTTTTTATGTTTCTTAATTACAAAGAATTAGCTCAGGGCATTCAGATATTTGGTTCGATTTCGAATAGGGCCTACTAAGTTCTGGATATATCGGATAAATCTTTTTTTATACCTAATAGATACTTATGAATTTCGATTCGGTTTTGATTCGCTTTTGGTTCGACTTCGGTTCAGTTCTAGGTATACGTTTAACATGTGAATCAAATATATAAACAAAATATGTAGTTAATATGTTAATCTAAAGTGGTCTACACACTTGTATATTCCTCATTTCAATCAAAGTTCAAGTTATTAAGATATATCAATTTTATAAGTATTTACTTTATTTTAATATAGAAATACTATATCTATATTTATAATATAAGATAGTTGGTAAAAGATAATGTCATATGAAGGTAACATTGTTTTCACTCTTCCCATTCAACCTGGATTCAAGTGAGATTAATAACATTTTATCCGTTTTTTGCCCAGTTCTACAAAGAACTATAGGAATTTAAAATCATAACTGCTTTGATTAAGTCCAGCATATATACTATTTAATGGAAACATAGCAAGAGAGAAGTCACGTGCTGTACATGTGGCTTCTAGAACCATAATTTATACGATATGACAAACTGAATAATTTGTTTATATAATGATAAAAACATAAATAAAACAAACAATACTTGATATCAAAATACGATGAACAAAGAACGATTTCGTGTGGAGGCGAAACACTCTTTCCTTAATTCTTTAATTGCCCATAGTGTGACTGTGTTTATTCTGCATCACTCATTATAGAAGCTAAGAACCTATTTTGTGTTGTGTTCTTAGAAATAACATAAAAAAGGATACTAAACATAACAATTCTAAGTGGGAGAATTATTTCTTCTTTTTGTTCTTTGTTGTCTATTTTTTTATAATGCTAACAAACCCTTTTATAGAAAAAAAATGAGAATCACAAGTTTCATCTTCAACATAAAAATGAAACCTCCATGGTCACTAATAGAGACTTTAATTCTTATCATTTATTTTGTGAATTTATTCTACATTTTAACCAAAATATTAAAGAATAAAATTATTATTATTTGACCAATTCAAAGAAATAATATACTTTAAAATGGACTTTTTTTTTATATTTTATCAATCTAAAAGATCAACATTATTTGGTTTATAAGATTAAGTTAATGAACATGAAGTCCAACTAACAAATCAAAACCCAAATCCAATCAAATATCCAATGTGTGTATTTGTTGCTTTGTACAAATTTCTCAAATAACACAAATTGGACCTACATTACTCATTCAAATAAAATTCATTTTTGACATATGAAAACACTATTCATAATGTTCAAAAATAGTTTCAACCATCCCCTACATAAATATAGATGACTCTAAACACTAGATGACTCGATAGACTTGACCTCCTACTCGACAAGACTCGACAAGACTTAATTAAGGAATTTTGAGAGTACAAACGAAAAACCATTGTATGATGAGTTGGTAGTAATTTTTCAGCCTTGAACAAGTCATTGTTAATAACTATCGGATTTACTCAGCCAGGTAATGAACATGTTGTGTTGAACCACTAGGGATTTGATGTAAACCTAGACAATAGTTACAAAACAACTTCATTCTCTCATAGAACTAGGTTTTCTATTGTGTTTATTTTGACTGTGAAAATGCCTGGTTAATTATGAGTGAACTTAGAGAATATAGTCTTTTCTTCATTCTCCTAGAAATGACCCCATTTCACACTCATATAGTTAATTTGCCATTAGCTTTGTTTAGAGGATTATCATGTACGACTCCATTAATATCTCAAAACAATGGATGCAAATCATTAAAAACAAATGTTTATCCTATAATCCTTACATGTAGTGCTATATAATCATCTTAGGAACTGGGTATAGACCGATGTCTTACAGTGCTTTCGGCACATTTAATTTGACTTAGCTGTCTCCTTGAACCTATTTCTTGGGATCTCTAATCAGTTAGGTATAAATACCGCCAAACTTCATATTTATTCATAGACTAACCCATTCCTCTTGACGATATACCAACTTTATCTTATGACACACTTTTAAATAAAAGATCCTAGGTTGTCATCATAATGAACATAATCTCTTTAAGATTATTCCAACTGAGATAATTGTCTAATAATTTCTGTCATCTTCTTTGAAGTTATAAATAACCATTGTACATAAAATTCAATGCTTGACACTATTTTTTTTTCAAATCATATTGTGATAATTATCAATAAATTCATTTGGCATCTTGCCAACAACTTCATATGATAAACGGAGCTTCCACAACATTTTTTTGAAATTACTCAAAACCATGCATATTGGCATTTAACATCTCTTAAAAGTTTAGAAAAACTAATCTACAACTTCTTTAGATTTAAATGAATAAAAAGCAATTTTGAAAAATTATTTCAATTTTCTTAGAAATTAACATTTTACATACAACTACTTTTCATAGTTCTCTGAAGTTGATTTATAAAACCAACTTATATGTTTTGAAATTTTACAAACCAATATGTTTTCTTTTTAACAAATATTCATATTTTTACAAGATATTATTTTTTTGCATCAAAAGAATGTTATGTTGTTCTACTGAGTGCCCTAGAAGATTATCTTGGGATGTTGTTTCCTATGCGTTTTGCCATTAAAATTATATTTCACTTTACATGTAGGTTATTAGGTATATATGGTTAAAACATATTTTTGTTAATCCTATTTTTATTCTATGTAACAACGAAATAAACTTGGATTAGTTATAATTTTTAATAATTTTATTTGCTTCTTATATAATTAACTAGTTAATAATGTTATCAGCATAAAAATCATGCTTTAATGTTTTTGACCATTTTCTTGTTTGTTTATATATAATGTTTACATTTTTGGCCTAGTACTTGTTGTTCATTTTGTTATTTTAATACATACAAAAATATTTTTGCTTACCTATGAAAATCACTGTAAATTACCTTTAATGTATTTTTCCTATTTATTGTAAAACATTAAATCTCATAAAAATTAATTATTTATTGCAAAACTAAAACT